TAGATCCCCGTGCCGACAAGTGTGTGTTCATTGGGTATGCACCTCATCAGAAAGGTTACCGGTGTTATCATCCGCCAAGTCGGAAAGTGTATTCTTCCATGGATGTTGCGTTCCGGGAACAGGAGAGCTATTTTTCGGATGCACAGGAGGATCCTTCTCACATTTCGGAATTTTTTCCTCCAGCTTTTTTTCCAGATTCGTTCAAGACTCAGAACGATCGGTCGTCGATCTATAGCGACCGGTCGCCCGACGAAAATGACCAGTCGCCAGCTGCAAACGACCGGTCGCAAACGCCTCTACCTGAAAGTGACCGATCGCAGGTATCTCACTACCGGTCGCCCCCCACGATAACGACTCTGCCTGAAAGCGACCGGTCGCATTCTTCTCACGACCGGTCGCCACGCACGATCGCGACTCTACCTGAAAACGACCGGTCGCCTGACCCTCACGACCGGTCGGTCCCCCCAGTTTTTGCTGAAATTGTTCCGCTTCAGTCCAATCCCAGCCATCACACTCAGGAGGAGAGAATTGAAGAGTTTATGCCTGCTCCGGAAAATTCTTCAGCTCCAGTACCACACCAATCATCTGCTGAGGACGTCATTCAGGTAACTTCTCTACCTGAAACTGATAACATTAATGAAATAACTGATTGCATTTCAGAAGGCGCAGAGCCTACATATCAGATTCCAAAAAGGAAGAATCGTGGTAAACCCCCAGTACACTACGAAGCAGATATTAATGCAAAGGGGAAATATCCCATCAACAATTATGTATCTCTCACCAGATTATCTGAGTCACGGGTACACTTTGTGAAGCAGTTAGCCGAAATACCTGTTCCCAACAGTGTAACTGAAGCACTGGAAGATCAAAAATGGAAAGAAGCCATGAATGAAGAAATGCGAGCTCTCCAGAAGAATGGCACATGGGAACTCGTGCCATTACCTCATGGAAAGAAGACAGTGGGATGCAGATGGATCTATACTGTGAAACTCAAGGCAGATGGATC